CCCGACATGATGTGGATGCTACCCTGATCTGAAAACCTGCAAATCAGATGCTTGCATGTTCATGTTGACACATGAGCAGAAAGAGAGAGAGAGAGAGAGAGAGATATGAGCTGCAACGAGAGAGAGAGAGAGAGAATGCAGGCATCGCTCGTCTTTGATGTTATCGCCTCCAGTCCTGTCGAAGTTTAGAAGTACTCATATCCATTATCGTCATGAAGGAAACATCGGTGTGGTCCATACCATTCGTGTCGGTTCTCTTCAGTCGTGGAATGACTGTGATGACAACAGCGGTTCGCACATTGCTCGCATTGTCGATGACATCTGATGGGGCCGTCCATGAACCTGAAGCGCCGATTGAGTCGATCCCATATTTGCCACAAAAGCTCCAACAGCTGTGCCGTGGAAGCACGGTCGATGCGCCAACGAGTGTCGTTCATCATTTGTTGATCCATGCCTGTAACAGTAAGGGTTGCCTAAGTTGGATGGCTGTCTTTGGACCTAAGCAATGCTTCGGGTACCTGACATGTTAAGCTAAATGTATCCGAGTCGTCAACATGTCTGCATGCACGCACAGCACATGAGTCAACACTGTCTTTTAGGCACGAAACTTCGACGCGAGTTTAAAAAGGTCCTGAAGTCCGAAACCGCGTCTTCTGTAGATTTCAATTAAGTCCTCCACTTGCGGTCGAATCAGGCGAATTGGTCGGGCATGTCTCTTGATACTGAGGGCTCTGGCTTGAAAACCTGACAATGCTGCGCTGCGGTCTCCTGCTGATCGGGTGGACCTGAGAACTGTCTCGTTGATCGACTGTCGCATAGTGATGGTGCCTTGTGTCACAGATGTAGTCGATCCTAACAGTTCTTCTCCGGGTACTGATTCCAGCTCAATGGGCAGACCGTAGAAATCAAGACGCAAGAAGAGGCAGGCCCAATCAGTGTAGCATTCTGCCCTTCGCAGAAAGAAGCATCTGTTGTCTGCATACCGAAAACTACGAAGTAGACCTGCATCGTCCAGCTGAGTTCTAAGGCTGCGAATGGTCAAGAATTCTTGCGCAGCAGCTACCATTGCACACAAGACTGGGGCCAAAGGCGAGCCCATGCATGCGCCTTGAATCTGACAAAAAGTGTCCATTCCCACCTTGAAGTAAGCTGACTGCAGCAGGAATTTGGTCAACTCCATGACATGTTTAATATGAAGGACCTTCGTAGTGGATCCACGATAACGTCGATGGCCTTTAAAGATCCTGAGGTCTTTGGTGCCTGCTTTGTGATCCACCTGAAAAGTCAAGCTGTCAAGATCTTGACCAAAATGTTCTTGGAGCTGGTACAAAACTAATTGTAGAGCAGTGCAAATGCGAGAATGTGGAACTGAATTGAAGAAACCGATAAGGTCTTGTTGGATCATGACCGGGTCGTCCTGCTCAAACTGTTGCATGTACCTCCAAGCTTGTCTGAGACCTGCTGTGACGGAACTGATATTCAATGTGGTTCCTGCCGGGAAAAGAACTTGCATGATCGAATACAGCGCTGTGGCTAAGAAAGAGCTGGCCTTGGTGTGCCAGCATTTCGTGTAGGCTATGATGGGCCTGGCTTTCGCGAAGTTCTTGGATCCTTTGGGAAGGATCCTTGCATTCGGGAGACCTCGGTTCCACTGAAAAGCCCACTTGTAGCACTGGAGTTCCGGATGTTTGTCCTCAAATTCTCGCTGCAAATGTTGGATGATGGTGCTTGTGCCGTTCCTGCATGGCATAAACACTGCTGAGTCGCCAAAACTTCTGCACAGTAACTTATGATAGTGAACAGGGCAGGCCGCGAAAAGTGAGTGGGGGAAATGATCTGCAGGTCCCAACACCAATCCTGCAAAGAGACGGGTGGCCTCCTTGATTTGTCTGGGATTCCACACGTGTTGTGTGTCTTGGTGCAAAGCTGTAACATGAAGACTCCACTGTCTGTCTACCCAGGGTGACATGTATTTAATAACATCTGAAGGCAGCTTCCATCGATTGCACCAATTCGTTAGTGCTGCAAGAACCTGCGATTTCCAAGTGTCTTCCTGAAGAAATGTAGTGTCTGCAAGGTTCGCCTTGGCCAAGCACGATGTCGGGGCGATATCCCCGGCAGCACACATCACATGACCTTCCACGATCGAGCTGGCCTGGGTGGTCGGTCGATACATCCGGCACTTGCACTGGACCTGTGTATTCCTGGTCCAGGTTCGCATGAAAGAACGATAGTTGAAAACAAGCTGTGTCAACTGTTTGCCTCGCCTGAGAACCAGTTTGTCAGATGGCAAATGCAGGGGTGGGAAGTTGTACTTCTGCTGTCGAAGTAGGCTTCTTATCAACAGCTTCACCTCTGCACGTAGGTCATGTGCCGCAGGTTGCAGAATGAGAGGCACATTCTGTGGTGGCAAGTCTCCTTTCCTGAATCGAAGCACACTCTGCAACTGTCGCTGAGCTCTACCTCGCCATGGTTCATCGATGAACTTCAAGAATCGAACTCTGAGATACAGTGTAGCAAGAGGTACTTTGTTCGAGCGTAGCAGCTTGGATTCTTCAAATTTCTGACGGGTGTTGGATCCTAAGCGGTACAATGAACGGCAAACCTCAGTCGAATCAGCAATGGTGTATTGATTGAATGCCACGGCAACATGTCGGTATCGTGCATGTCGGTTAGCTCTGCGAATGAAACGTTTCCCCACCTTCGTGCCGAAAATCGGGAACTTCTTCTCATGTAATCGGAGCTTGCTGAGCATCACTCCAACCCAAGGGGCATTCAGATTGCTTCGGTACACCTGAATCAGTGAGGATTCCAGAGCTAGTCTGGATTCCAATTGTGGTTCTTGATGAAGGACCACACAAATGCCTTGGTAAAAGTTACCTTGGTGGTGCCAGATCTTCAGAGCAGGCTCATAGTAAGCAATCCGGTCTCGGGATAGTTGAATCAACTTGCGTCTTCGTGTTAGTTCCCTGCGACGCACAGTCTGCCCAGTAGATCCAATGTACAACTGAGCACCTGCTCGGAAACCCACTGGTGTGGTGCGAGCATATACGACAGACTCCTGAATATGCCACTCCCAAGAGTA